ACTGTCACTCACCACTTAAATAATATAGAGAAAATAATATAGAGATAATAGTACACCCATTAGGTTCCGTTTGTTTTGATTTTTTTAAGAGGAAAGATTATCAAAACTATCAGTTTTGACAGGCTTTCTTACAAAAACGATTTTTTTAGAGGCGTTTTTTTAAGAAAGCCTGACAAAGCTGACAGTTTTTGTCAGTTTTGACAGCTTTCACACCACTTTCCTCTTCAAAAAAATCAAAACAAGCCGGCCCTTACTACTCCATGAGTACAGTCTTTGATTAATGTATTATATCATTTGATTTTATGTTCATTTTACTAACATCCTTTATTTTTATTTTGAAATTTACAAGTTAAACTGGAATAAAGAGTAGCATCTTTGAAAAAAATAAATAAACACATCCCTCTGCTCATATTTTATTGTGGTGGAGGAACTGTGGACTTTAGGCATGTCTTTTGGTTTCTATTATTTTCCGGTTATTTAAATTTAGATACAGAAATTATTTTTACCAAATTGAAAAAAAAATTCCCTGCTTTTTCTTATCTTTTTTTATTTTTTTTGCAGTAACTTGATTCCTCTGCTTCGTGTACATAACTTTGAGTGGCATATATATAATAATATTTACGTACTGTTGGAACACCTGGAACCCGACAAGATTTGTTTGAAAAGTGGCCTTTTCTAGCTTCTTACGTTACTGTCGTAAAATATGGCACGGAGTGGGGTTCTTCATACAAAGAAGAACTCTGTATATAGAGAAAGAACGAGATCGAAGATGAGAATATCAATATAAATAGTTAATATATTAGTATAATTAATAAGAATATTATCAGAATAATTTAATAGCACATATTACTATTAGCTAGAGGTGGAATTGCTGGCAATGACTGCTACGTGGAGATTAGCCGTGGACTGTAGCAGGCACACCCAACAATGACTTGTGAGATTCTCAATGGGAGAGGATTGAGGGGATATTTTCAGGATATCCCCCTTGGCCCTTGTGGGTCGGCAAATATATACACCCAATTTCCTCGAGTGACGGAATTTGATGCTTAAAATTGTAATTGAGATTTATTTATATGTGCAGGACTCACATGGAATACGCTAT